TGGAGAAGCCAAGTGAAGAGGTTTTTCAGTTACGCTGCTTTCCTAAATCAGGAATCGGTACGTAAGTCATAGAACCATAGAACCATTTGGGCTGGAAGGGACCTTAAGAGGCACTCTAGTCTGCGGTGAGCAGGGACATCTCCAACTCGATAAGGTTGCTCAGAGCCCCATCCAGCCTGACCTTGAATGCCTCCAGGGATGGGCCTTCCACCACCTCTCTGGGCAACCTGTTCCACTGCTTCACCACCCGCACTGTAAAAAATTTTTTCCTTATGTCAAGTCTAAATCTACCCTCTTTTAGTTTAAAACCATTACCCCTTGTTCTGTCACAGCAGACCCTGCTAAAAAGTCTGTCCCCATCTCTCATATAGGGCCCCTTCAGGTATTGGAAGGCCGCAATGAGGTCACCTCGAAGCCCTCTCTTCTCCAGGCTGAACAACCCCAACTCTCTCAGCCTAAGTCAATAAATTTTGGTTACTTAATGCAAACCAGAAAGGGATTCCTGGATCATTAACCAAAAATGGCCTAAAGTTCAAGCCTCGTTGTTGAATGCAACAGGTACAGTGGTGTCGGGTGAAAACCAAGCTCAGAATTCCCAGGTGAGAGCATCAGAAATGCCCACCTGGGTCAGGATGTTGGGCTGCCTCCTACTCAGGTCTTGACAGTTGTTAGACAGCACTGCTTAGAGAGGGTCTAACGCGTGGTGCGAAGCCCTTGCGCGACCCTGGCATCCACAGACTAGATTTGCTTGGGAACCTGTGCACCTTAGCATCTGTTTCTGGATGAACTTGTCTAAATTCCTTTTTATCCACCTCCACAAAATGTTGTGGCAACAGATTCCAGCTTTCACATTGTCTGCTGTGTAAAAGAAGTGTTTTCATTTGTGTTAAGCAGGTTTAAGGGTTATGTCTCTTAAGCACAGAGCATACAGGATGTTAAGCGTGTGTGTAACAGTACAAAAGCAGTGTAAAGGTTAGTACGTAAGTTTCAGAACAGAAAAATTAAGTTGTGCAATGCGGAATTCCTCATATGTCTCTGGCTTTTATGCTTAGTAAGGAAGGAGGCTTCAGATATCCAATATCTATCACTTTTGCCTATGAAACGATACAACATTTACATTTTAAAACTCTTTTTGTTCAACACAGCTTCTGGTATTCCTTTCTGGTATTCTATTCTGCTGCAAAAAAAAGCCAATACAACGTTATAATTTTTTTTTCCCTGTTCCCTCAGGTTTCAATGGATTTAACAAGTCCCCCGCTATCTTTACAAGATAATGGTTTTGTAAGTATTTCATGATATGCTGCCTGGAGAAAAAAAATCTGTATTTGACAATAGTATCTCTGAGGGAAGGTTTGTGCTAGGGCTGCTAGGACAGCACTTCTGAAACTTCTTGTCTCACCTTCTTCCATCCTTTAATACTTTGGACATTCCTCGTTCCTGCCTCCTGTTTCCATAGGGAGAGTCCCATTCCAAAGTGTTTCCATTACAAATTCTGTGAGTTTTCCTGTCCTACCTTGCTTGCTCGTCTGTCTCTGTGGAGATTTCTTAGGGGAATGTCCTTTTTCCTGGTGCCTCCCTTGATTCAGTTCCTGCAGTGTGGCACGTAGTTTGCGTGGGACTTTCCCTGGGATTTCTTGCCTTTTCCTTGTTATTTTTTTCCTTCCTTCAGGTTGAAAACTGTTGTCTTAGGCCATTTTTCAGTAAAAAACAAGGATCCTTTCCCATCAGTTTCCAGCTGTGGCACGTGCATCCTTCTACTTTCCTGCACTCAGTCCCTTAGTTTTAAGTTATGTGCAGATGGGGATTTCCCTGTTGCTTAATAGGCATTTGAAACTGGACAAAGTAGTGGAAAAAATTACTTAGTATTTTACTCTTTTTAGGAAATACCCAGCATTACCAAGAGAATTGACAAGATTATCTAATTTAGACCTTTTCCATGCCTAAATTTCATGGTTCGCATTCAAGTTTTATGTAATCTTAAGTAAAAGGGAGGGATCATTTCAACAGGTCTCTCTGGATTTTTTTTTTCTTTTCTGCAGTATGTTGCCTCCATAGAAACAAAACAGAACAGAGGAGATTTTCTGTCTTCTTGGGCTTTATGCAGTTGTAGTTTTCTCGTGCTTGTGAACTTCTGCCCTCAAGTACTTGAATTCTGAAATGCTTCTTTTATCACCTTCCTCCTGCTTGACGTTACCTTTTATTGTCCAGTCTTCCTGAGCTTGAAAGCATCCCGTTTTGAATTTTTTTTCTCATTAGGCCTGTATATTCTTTATATACTCTCTTAGAGGAACTGCTGAGGAAGCACATAGATAAACATTTGTGGGTTTGAGGGGCTTAGTTCCCTGTAGAAGAACATAGAGACAACTTGCTTTTATTATTTATCAAAATACTAGCCTGTGAATATTTTCACTTGGGTAGTTAGCAAATAATGATTACTGACCAGGATCCATTTTCTTGGATTTTTGTCCTGTCCAGCCATTAAGATAGTTCAGTGATTTGGCCTGAGTGTCTGAATGCATTTTAAAAACATGTGGTATATGCTATCCTCTGACATGCAGATTCTAGGAAGATTTAATTACGAAATGTAATCAGTCTCTCAAAATGTTTGACTCGCCACGTATTTTGCTTGTATAATTGGAGAAAACCAGCAAATGGGCACACAGGCAAAATACTTTAATTAATGGACATACATTGAAAAATACCATGGCAAAATGCTTCATCCAACTGCAGAGAGTTTATTTTTTTTATTTGGAAGACTCATTTGGAGTCTTTGGTGTGTCTCAGTTACTGCCTAATGGAGGGGAAAACCAGTGTGTGCCTCTTCTCTCCAGGTTATGACAAGCCCTGACCCTTTTGGCACATCGAAAGAAGAGATGGAAGGACTTAAAGAAGAACTGAAAAGATGGAAGGCAAGTTCTATAATGCACACAGAATCGTGGAAATTAGCTCCAAGATACTTGGAATACCTTTAGTCCATCCCTCTAAAACCAAATCAACTCTCTCCCAATTATAACGTATTTGTCTAACTTGTTCTCTATTCTTCAGTGGTACATGCTTGTGTTGATCTCGGTGGTAACTACACTTGTAAGTCGAAGGAAAATATTTATCCAGAGTGTTAAAAATAAATAAACATAAAGGGCTTATTTAATGTTTTGTTTGTTCCTGTGGAAGAAAAACACTTTAAAATCTTTTTTCTTTTTACTATCCAGGAAAGAGTTGAAAAAGCTGAAAAAGCAAAAGCTGACCTTCTTTTCTGTAAATTAAGTGCTGATGAAGAGTGTGCTAAAGCAGAGGAGGAGCTGATAAAGCTAAAGGACTTGCAAGAGAAACAGAATAAGGACATTTTTATGTCTAGGGACACCCGTGAGGTATGGAGAAGGCTTACTCATAGCTGTTAGTATTTGGGGAGTTCTGAAGGAGGTGTTGATTAGAGAAAATAAGAGTAATACTTCTTTTTCAGTTTAAATGGTTTTACCATTTTGCTGACTGTATGACTAGAATGTTCTACACATAGTTTTTCAGTGGCAGATTAAGAACCAGTGCAATAAAAGAAGCCTTATGGCAATGTTAGAAGAGTGAAGGCAAAACTGAGACCTTTTTTGTGTAGAAGATGAAGACTGACAAAACCAGTCTTTGCCTTCCAAGATTCTCCACTGACAGATGAGTTTCAGTTTTGTGTGATGCAGGTAAAATTGAATGGGACGATTCCAGTGCTTTGTCAACTCCCAACCTGTCTTATAAGATGTTAAAGCATCCAAGGGATTAGCATTTCTTAAGTGACAGTGGGCTGGGCAAGAGCCAGAACCTGTTTGAAGAGGGCTTTTCTTTCTAGAACTAATTGGTTCTAAAAATAATTGCTTTACTAACTCAACGTGCCATGTGCAGTCATTGGTACAGTAATAGGACAAGTTTCCATAGGCTGTCAAGGAGGTGGCCGCAGTGAAGTTTGGTTTACCCTGTAAATCGCTGGTGAGAAATTATGGCTTCAACATTACAAGTTATTAAAGTGTAATTAATGGTTTAAGTACACTCAGGTTGGCCTTGAGATTTTCTGAAAGTTGCTTTTGGTTCTCCAGTCATAAATATTTGGATTTTATACCCAGAGGAGGTCGTTATCATCATCTGGCTTTTGTTTGACATTATCTTCAGCTGATGGGAACTGGTCTAAATGTCTCGAATGGTTAATGACTTTAAAGGAGCCAACTTCTAGTTGTGGATGGCTGGAACTGACTACGTCTGCTGTGTTTCCTTCTCATTCTGTTGTGTTCCCTCTCCGGAAAATACTGGATTTAGTTACATGGGTTTTATCCCCATTCAGCATTCATTGGTGTGGAGGAAGTATGTAGCAGATAGGAGGTAGAAGAGGTGTTCCCTCTTCCTTGCTGAAGAAGTATAAAGAAGGAAGAGTAGCAGTGTGTCAGAAACTGTCCTCACCTGGTAAACTTTTCAGAAAAGGGAGTAACGGTTACTAAGATCACATGTGGTACAAAAAATAAAATGTCTGTGTGTTGACATGGGCTCTGACCTTGCATGTATAAGGAACTGACATAACTATGGAAAGTGCTGTGCAATTTATGGTGTACTGTATGTGCTTGGAAACACTAATGCCTCTGTTCAAAAGCCTTCTTACTGTAAGTTACTTTGACTGAAAACTGCTCCTCCGTGAGTAAATTTAGTTTCCAGATAGTTTACGCAAAAAATGTATCATGCATGGCTGTCATGTAGAATAATTAAAAGTTGAAACAGTGACTAATGTCTACAGATCTTGCTGAAATATATTTTTGTCTTCTATATGTTTAATTTTGCATTTAATACTTTTTGGGCTGTAGGCAGAACTCCGTATACTAAAAGAAGAAAATGCTGAGCTGAAGAGAGAGATTGCAAAGCTCAAAGAAGACCTTGCAGAATGCAGTTCAACACTTTCGGAGTATGGTCAGGTAAAGTTTGAAATATTTTGCAGTTTGTCTTTTGGAAGGGCACATTTTTATTTTGTCAATTCTAGACCATTGAAGCTAGTTGTTCAGCATTTGAACCTCTACTGATTTCAATATAAAATATAGCTTGAAGTTTTATTTTCTTATTTTACCTGGCAAGATAATGTGAAGCAGGCTAAGGATATGGAAACAAATACAAGTACGTGAGTTACTGAAGACATGAGAGGAATGAAGGCAAGCAGAAAATTGTTAAATGGAAGACACTGGAATAAAAAATACACATAGCATTAGTAATTTTCAAGTACTCTCATTTTATATTTCCTAGGCAAGAGGATGGAAGAAAGGGAGTAAGTCAATTTTATCACAAATGTAGCGTTTATTTTAGCCTATATTGAGCTTGACTTGATTATAGTCTCTCTCATGTTACTCCAAATCAGAAATAACTCAATTTGCAGCCAGGTAAATATTAGTGATAGTAAATAGATTTAAACTCAGGATCCAAAGTATCTTTTGGTGAAACTGCTACAGATTCTGAGGTGTTCAGGAACTGGAACTTCTCTTCTGGAAATTTCAACTTTTAAAAACCTGTTTTCATTTTGAATTGGAAGAAAACCAAATAATTTGGTGAATTTACAGTAAGATGAAAACTGTGATCATTTTTGGTTTATACAGAGATTGAAAGTCTATGCAAGTGTTACCGTGTTTAATGTTAACAATATTACAATATTAGCTGTAGCTTTCTAAATTACGTTTCTAAGTTTAGTAAATGTCAGTTAAGTCCAGCCTCCTAAATTTCCTGGGAAATTTACAGGGCAAGGCTCCTGTAGCAGGAGATTCAGTGGCAACAGGGGCCTACGCCCAGCGTCTGAATTATCTTCAGGAAGCGTGTCTCTCTTCCTGTTGTCAGTAGAAGAAATGGAAAGAAAGCAGGCTTGTAGATAAGATGCTAGTTTTGAAGATAGGTGGCAGGAATG